GGGGGACGTCCGAATTTCTGACTCTGCGTGTGTGTGTGTGTGTGTATGTGTGTTGACATGTGACAGCCACTCTGCCCACCTCCCCACCTCCTCAGCCCCGAATGGAAACCCACTGGTACAGCAAGGAGGGGATGGCCAACTGCGTTCTCATTCTCTCTCTCTCTCTCCCTCCCTTCTGGGAAATCACTGCTGAGCCCAGAGTGGGTCCTACGATCACAAGATAGCACAACACAAAGAAAACAGGGCAGGGCGGGGTGCACGGCATCGGGTCTCCGTGGGTCGTAATCAGAGTGATGCCAAGGGCACAGCATCTTACCAAAATGGAACCGTCATCCTTTCCATCTTGAGAGGGAATTTGTGAAACCACATTTTCATCATCCCCAGCCCCCGAAACCTTCTCCAATAACAGAAACAAAGCCGTCACCTGAGGGCTGCTCTGCTGATACCAGAGGGTCCAGGATCGAAAGGCTTGGGGTAGCCAGGAGAGATTCTTTTGCTCCCAGGGGACATCTGTCACAGTGGTGGGGGTGGGGTGGGGAGGGGCTGCTGCTGGCTTCTAGTGGGTGGAGGCCAGAGATGTCCCCAGAACAGCCTCCACCACAAAGAATTCTCTAGCCCCAAATACCAATAGTGCTGAGGTTGGCTGACCCTGGACCGGAGCCGAGTCTGGGCACTTGGACGTCCTGGAGTCATTTTCTAGAAGACTATGGAAAGCAGCATCTGCAGGCAGATTTGCTCCTCCCTGCCAGACCACCTCATTAAGAACAGTCTCTGTCCTGGACAAGACAGACACGCCTTGCTTGTTCAGAGCTATTCAGATCTTCCAGGACAAAACACACTCATAAACAAACTAAGGCATGTTTACCCCAGACCTCCTCCCTTGCACGATTGCACGCGGCTCTGACAAGCAGTAAACAAGGAGAGCCCCAAGACCCATGTTCCAGGGTGAGAGTTAACCTAGGTCCCCATGCAGGTCTTCTTTTGGGAAGAGGCAGCCTTTGCCACCTGAGGTGGGGACTGGGAGTGGATCGAGGACAGGGAACATATGATAGAGCAGAGACCAGGCTGGTGTCAGCCCCAAAGGGTCAGATTCAGGTTCATGGAGACCATCTGTGTTGAGTTCTGGGGGGGGGCAGGGATTCTCAGATCTGTCTTCCTCCATCCTTTCATTCTTGAGCCAAACAGGACATTAGGATGCAGGAAACTTTACAAGGGTTGGGAAACGTCAAGGCGTATGGATAAGCCCTATAGGACGCCTGGATGAAGATTTCTTCCTCCTTGTCACCTGTAGGCCATCTCGAATTACCTTGCCAATGCAGACAGAAGGCTTTGTGGGTTAGGTGGGCACGGTGACATGCTGGAGGTCAAGGCAGTGGAGATGCAAATATACAAGGTAACGGCTTCACACAGAAGCTTAACCCCCCAGTTTTCCCAACGGCATGAATGGCCAGAGCTCCAGGGGTGAACCGGCCCAGACATCTGGCTTGCCCGTCTTGGCAGAGGGACGGTTTGCCAGTGATCTGGGTCAGAAAAATCTCACTTGTTTTGGACTTAGGGCAAAACCTGACCTCCTTTTGGAAGTCTAAAGCAGGTGGCTGTTGAGAATGTGCTTGGCAAGAAAATCCTTTGTTCTAAGGCCAATGTCTAGCTGGCCTGGGGTCAGTTTTCTTTCCGTGCATCTAGGCCTGGCTGGACCTTGGAAGGATGCACCCTGTTGGCTCAGGGAGAAGCTGGTTTATCATGTCAACAACGGCAAACTCCTCTTTCCCTCCAGGCTGTTTGGTGCCCCCCCAGCCCCCCCTCCCCGTTTCCTTTCTTAGCCTAGAGATAAGACTCCTGTTTTTCTCCTCCCCAGCAGCGAGGTCTTCAGGTCCTGATTTAATAACTGCATAACATTCTACGGCTGGTTCAACAGACCAGCCGTCCACGTCCACACTCTGTCCTGCAGCCGGAACATTCTTTTCCAAGCCCAACTCCAAAGACCTTATTTTACCCATTTGAAAAACATTCCTAGGGATGCCCTGCCGCCTTCCAATGAATCTAAATTCCTGGACATGCGCTCACCTGTCCCTAACACCTGCTCCCTGCTCACCTGCCCAGCATCTGGCTCAGCACCCTCAGCCTTCCAAAGCTGTGCCAGAAGCAAAGCGCTCCCTTCTGTGCCTTTCCTCTCACTCTTCCTCCTTCCTGGATATCTGATCTCCCCAAACCTGCAGGTGGGATCCACTCGTTTCTCAAACCCCAGACATTTATATCGAGTCTAAGATTGTGTGTCTACATACCGAGATTCTCATTGCCTACAAACCGAAACTGTTCTGGGCTCCGTATTCTCCCCTGTACCTTCTGCATAGTTACTGGTGAAGTGGAAAAATGAAATTTGAAAGCTTCAGTGGGCCAGGTACCATAACTGGTTGTTTTATGGGCATTATCTCATTTAACTCACTTTGCTATATAAGTGGATATATAGACTCAGAAAGGGTACATCACCAGCCCAGGGCTGTCTGTGGAAACGGGGGAGGGGGAAGAGTTAGCATTGGAACTCAGGGCTGCTTACAAAGGCTCCATTTTGGTGGGTGTGAAGCATTTCCCTGAACCCAAGGATAGCTGGCTGTCTCCCTCCATAGAAATCATTCGGGAAAAGATTCCTCCACTCAGGGAGTTTAATTAGCTCTGCTTCTTTCCTAACGCAAGGTGCTGGCTCTGGATTCACAGTGATGAATGGGGGGGGGGCATAGCCATGTCAGCTTCTGCGGAGGGGGAGGTCTCCTTACTCCTGGCCAAGCTCCCTTTTGTTAAATGGGGTTGGAGTCACTGCAGAGCAGTCCAAGGTCTGTAATCTAGGTAACTCCCAAATGCCCAATCAATCTTCTTTTTCTGCTCACCTATTGTGAAACCAAATTTTGCACCTGGGTTTGGCTACTGGGACCGAAGTAAAAAACCACCACAAGAGGGCAGCATTTACCCACCCTGCATCAGAGCCAAAGCCTAAATCAGGACTCCACACTCTACCTCTTCATAGGCTCCTTACAGGGAGGTTTTTCAGAACAGGGATTCCGGCAAATGAGAGAAACACATCAGGCCAGCCTCCAGTCTTCTAGCAGGGAGTCCTGAAGCAGCCGGCATTGGGTGTTGAAAGGCATTTCCTTTAAAAACAAAAATCTTTCTTGGGAAGAAAAGATGCATCCCAATTCTGTGATCACTGCTTTGGACTCCTGGGTACAAGGAGATGATGCTTCCATCTGCGAGCCTGCTACCGGAGGGGAGGGGTGCATGACGGAGGTGCCCGGCACACAGGAAGTGCACACGAGCACTCATTCGGTGATGGAAAAGCACTCACAGTCAGAGCTTGTCAGGAGAGGGAAGCATGGATAAGTTCCTCCCCGAGTGAGGCTGGGCACTGCAGTTCAGGGTCTGGGGAGCAAGGCCTGTCTTAGCAAGTGTCTCTAAAGGGCTCAAAGGGTTGAAAGAAAGCCCCCGTGGGGGAAGCTGCTAGGAGCCAGAATTGTGTATAAAATGGGCGTCTGGAGTTCCAGATTGGCAGAGTGGGGTAGCACGCTGAGTGCCTGGGCTTGGTCTCCTTGCCATGAAAGCCCCAGCCAGAGGAAACAGGATTAAAGGAAGGCTGGCAGGTGGTAACTGGAGGCAGCCCAGCTCCGCATGCAGGGGGATGGGACCCCAGAGGGAGGGGGGCTGCCGTGGAGGGTGGAGAAAGGCAAGGGCCAGTTTGCTTTTTGCCTTTAAGAATCTCAGAGGTTGTCCTTTCCTGGGGACATCTCTTTGGCACTCCGTGTCCTAAGGCTCTTCCAGAAAGGGCCAGGGCACTTTCTCTTTGGCAGCCCCCCAAACAGAGCATCAAGAAATACCCATTGTGCCCTACAGAAAGGCGAAGCACTCTCTCTGGGCAATAAAACATAAAACAACAAAACAGAACAGCCCACCCACAGAAGGCTTCCCCTCCAACCTGGGCCAGCCCCTCCAGTAATTTCTTGGCTCTCTCCAGGCTTTCCCCTGATTTTGAGCACTTCCGGGGGTGGGGGCGGGGGAGGTGCCCTCCCAACCCATTCATCCTGATGGTGGGCACAGCACTTTACCTCCTAGGGTTGGGGGGAGGGGGGAAACTAAACTGACCCTGATTCTCACTGAAGATTGTGTTGCCCATTTTTGATCGGAGTCAAGGTTCATTTCTTTGGCAAAATTATTTGGTCAGGCTAGAAACTTGGGAGATTGCTTTTAGAAGGCCAGGAGTATGAGTGCCAGGCCATGCCCGGTGGTGGTCCTGGGGAGGAAGTCGCGTGATGCCTCATGATGTCTTCCCTCTCCAACTTGTCTGCTTTAAGGGCCTTCTGTTATTTCCTTCCCAGGGTGGAAGGGCCAGCCCTATTTGGGGCAATAAAAAAATAGCAGTGATATTCTTCCTTGATACTGTTTCCAGTCTGTACCACTCTAAAGGCTGATCTATTCATACTTTTTTCACTTCATAAATTATAAGGGGAAGGAACTTGCCCAAAGTCACCTGATGGCAAAGATGGGATGATTCTTACTTCCCCATACTCTCTGGGACATTACTTCTCCCTGTTGTGGATGGGATGGTCCAGGGAGGGCCAAATCAGGTGATCCTGTCTGGGGTGAGGGGTCGGGCTGGGGAGGAGGTGTGCTTAATCCACAAGATGGGTTAGTTTCCCAGGAAGGGCTCCACTAACTGGTACCAGAATCTAAATGCGACCGATTCTGTGAGCCCCTTTTTAACGGAGCCCCCCCCTTAATCATCACACTCGCTTCCCCCTGCCCTTTGTAACCAGGACAATGAGGGTGCCTCCAAGTGTTTCAGGGATGTGAGCATAGACAGAAATTACAGACGTGTGGAGAACCAGGGCACGGTTCTTGGCACTGAGAGTCTGCAGGCCACACGCTGCCACAGGCAAGAGGACAGACGGAGACCCAGGCCTGTCCCACACGTGCATGCATGTGCACACACAGACACACACACACACACACACACACACACACACACACACGACCAGGACGTCATCATAAAAAAGGACAAGGGGGGGCTTCAGCAGCAGAGAGACTGGCTCAGAAGACCTTCCTGACCAGTCCCTGGAGCCTCTCCGGGGGAACCCCAGAGCCACGGCCACGTTCCAGTGATGTCATGCGCCGGGGATCTGCCCTTGTCGGGAAGAGAGGGAGGGGGAAACAGTTTTGTAAGAGCCACTGTGGATTATAAAGGCATTGCATTGTAGCAGGACAACTCAAGGAGAAAACCCAAGAGGGCCAAGGAAACCACCGAGGGGCAAGGACCCAGAAGAGGAAAAACCACAGCGACAGGACGAGAGGGACAGCGGGGGCCACACAGGGTCCCGGAGGGAAGGTTCAGCAGTGTCCACGCTTAGAAAACCTGCAGCCGCTCCGCGGGGGTGCATGGGACAGCCCCCCTGCCATCCGTCTGGGCAAGAGGATCCAGTTAGGAGCTGAAAACCCTGTGGGAAGACAGGGCGGGGAGGGGGTGGGCAGTTAGTGTCCTGGAGGCGAAGCTGAGTTGTTTCCTTACAGAGCCACAGAAAAGCCACTAAGCTCTGGGTTTCACTGTCCCTTCCTCTGCAGGCTCCCCGCCTCAGATAGCACCTGACCCCTAGCTGGGCTCGTCTTGAATGAATGGATGGACTCATGAAGGAATGAAAGAGTGCTTGCTCACCAACACACCCGGCCAGAAAGAGGGGCAAAGAAAGGGGCTTTCCGATAGCCAAAGGAGTTGGAATCTGGAAAGTGAGAAAGCGAGCCTACCGGACACAAAGTATGTTTTGTATGCGCAGGGAAAATAATGAGGCTGTTAAGAAATGGGGTGTCTTCCCTACGCCACCAAAAATGAGACAACCCAGTTCCTACCTAATTTAACATAAAGGGCACACGGCGGTGGTTTGCAGGCGGTCTGTGGGTGGGCGTGGGTGAGTGCCATTTCCGTCCTGGTTGAGAGGTCCCGGCCTTAAGGGGAGGTTTAACTAGTGAGACTCAGTCCAGTTTTGTGGTGCCTCAGACCGTTCCCAGCAATTTCTAGAGGACCCGTGAAGTTGCCAAAATAATACCGGTTGGGATCTGCATGGATGAGAACAGTCTACGCAATTTGGGGGTGTGGGAGGTGGTGTAAAAAGGCTGGGAGCAGCGGCTCGGAATACACCTTCCTGAAGACTGGAGACGTCATTCCACTAGGGGGCGCCCCAGGCCGACTCAGGGATCCGAAGCCAGGATTCCCAGGCCTCAGAATCCCCTGGAGGGCCCCTTAAAAACATAAACCTCGGTTCTCACTCCAGAGTTTTAGAGTCAGCAGGTCTGGAGCGGCCTGGGAATTTGCATTTGTAGCCCACCTTCCACTGTGGGAAAGCCAGGGCAAACAAAGACAGACATCCCCCAGCCATCAGCACTGGGAAAAGACGGCTCTGCCCGCCCCTCTCCCCAGGGATGGAGCCAGCTTACTCGTCAGTGTCTTTTTTGCTCTCCTCAATGAAGGCAATGGATTCAGATCTAAGGCGGTTGGTCACTTCATATGTTCGCAGGGTGACCCCGAAAATATCCTCATGGTACCGGTTGTCATCCTGGGGGACAGAAACAGCCTTCAAATGCCAGCCAAAGGCAGGAGAGGGACAGACACACTGACAACCTGGAATGGAATGTCCTTGAAAAAGATGGGTTCTAAACAAACAAGATGTAACCCAAAGCCCCCTGGAAGACCTCTTTTTTCCCAGACTGTGCTTCCTAAGACCCCATGCCCTAACCCTCCAGGGCTTGGGGTCTTACCAGCCCAGGGTGGCAAAAAAACATTTCAGTTCACATCCGAACTGGCACAGCTTGGACAAACCTTTTTGTGCAGTGCTCAACCTGGACAACTGCACAGGACAGCGCTGCAGCTTAGTTCTGGGGGCAGGAAGAGTCGGTTTAGGAAGGTTGCTATCCAGTTACCCAGTGGTCTACCCGCCTATTATTTTCACACACCACAGCCCCCATCCATATTTAATACATGCACCTGCACACCCAACACCCAGTCCTCCTCCTTCTCTCTCATCTATGGTTGGGGACCACGGGTATCCTCAACCTTGAGCCATAAATGGGAAAATGGGAGCAGGTGGGGATGTCATCATGGCCCCTCTAATCACTGAGACAGGCAGGGTGAGGAAGAGGAGACAGGAACCGGATGCTGACAAAGGGATCCAAGAGGCCACTCACCCTCAGCCTGCTGATGAACACACCCGCATCCTCCGCTGAGAGTTTCCCCTGCTGGGTCATGATGCGCTGGATGGCTTTGAGGACATCAGCGGCCATGGTGACGTCCCCGCAGACATAGATGTGGCCCCCTTGCTCCTGCAGGGCTCGGTACACCGGTTCTGCTAGCTGTTCCTGCAGGATGTCCTGCACGTACTTCTGCAGGGGGCAGCAAGAGCCGTGAGAAGGAGCTGGATCCTGGGCAGCAGCACACTACCCGCCCCCAGGACAGCAGAGCCTGACATAGGTGACCCAGGGGAGCAGGAGGAGCAAGGAAGAGAGGGAAAGCCGATCCGAGCGTGTGTGAGTGAGCTGCACCTGTGCTGGAGTTCAGCGGGGCTGAGGATCCTCGAGAGGGTCATGCGGAACACACCCCAGAGCCGTAACCCAGAGGTGCATAGGGTGGGTTCACAATCTACCTGCTCCCTGTCCGATGGCCAGAGGTCCCCCACAGGGTGTTGACCCCTGTACTCTGATAGGTGCGGGGTTCAGCCTATGCTGGGGTGCCAGAGAGGCAAGAGAGCAGGAGATGGGGGAGGCGAGGGGCTCTCAGCTTCCACCTGTGCAAAGCCTGCTGCTGTACAACAGCTGGAGTAGAAGGTGGGCTAAGAGAAAGTGGGGTGGGCACGGGGGGGGGTTCCAAATCAGCCTCCGGGGGATTTGCCTTATCTGTTCAGGATGCCTTTCACTTGTCTAGGTAACTCCCTTGGGGTGAGGCGGACATGCAGCTGGTAGGTCTTGGCACGGCTGTCCTGCTTGTAAAGACACTGGGGCACTTCCACACCAGCTATCAAAAAGCCCCTGCCCATCTGCTGACAGCCCACCCCACCCCAGCTCTCCCGGCCCCTTTCCTGGGACCTCTCTGGATCTCCCCCAGATCCAGGAAGAGCACGCTCCAGTCCCGCGGCCTGTGTCTGTATTCTGACTTTGCGCCTCTTGGGGACTGTTACATTTTTTTTTTT